GAAAGAGGGGAGGATGGGGTGGGGTGATGGAACGCAAAAGAATGGGGCGGGGTGATGGAAAGCGGGAGAATGGGACGGGGTGATATAAAGCGGGAGAATTGGGTGGGGTGATGGATAGAGGGAGAATGGGGAAGGGTGATGGAAAGAGGGAGAATGGGGCGGGGTGATGGAAAGCTGGAGAATGGGGCGGGGTGATGGAAAGCGGGAGAATGGGGCGGGGTGATGGAAAGCGGGAGAATGGGGCGGGGTGATGGAAAGAGGCGAAAGAATGGGGCGGGGTGAAGGAAGCGGGAGAATGGGGCGGGTGATTGAAAGAGGGAGAATGGGGCGGGGTGATGGAAAGCGGGAGAATGGGTCGGGTTGATGGAAAGCGGGAGAATGGGGCGGGGTGATGGAAAGTTGGAGAATGGGGCGGGGTGATGGAAAGCGGGAGAATGGGGCGGGGTGATGGAAAGCGGGAGAATGGGGCGGAGTGATGGAAAGCGGGAGAATGGGGCGGGGTGATGGAAAGAGGTGAGAGAATGGGGCGGGGTGATGGAAATCGGGAGAATGGGGCGGGGTGATGGAAAGAGGGAGAATGGGGCGGGGTGATAGAAAGAGGTAGAATGGGGCAGAGTGATGGAAAGCGAGAGAATGGGGCAGGGTGATGGAAACCGGGAGAATGGGGCGGGGTGATGGAAACCGGGAGAATGGGGCGGGGTGATGGAAAGCGGGAGAATGGGGCGGGGTGATGGAAAGCGGGAGAATGGGGCGGGGAGATGGAAAGCGGGAGAATGGGGCGGGGTGATGGAAAGAGGGAGAATGGGGCGGGGTGATGGAAAGAGGGAGAATGGGGCGGGGTGATGGAAAGCAGGAGAATGGGGCGGGGTGATGGAAAGTGGGAGAATCGGGCGGGGTGATGGAAAGCGGGAGAACGGGGCGGGGTGATGGGAAGCGGGAGAATGGGGGCGGGGTGATGGAAAGCGGGAGAATGGGGCGCGGTGATGGAAAGCAGGAGAATGGGGCGGGGTGATGGAAAGAGGCGGGAGAATGGGACGGGGTGATGGAAAGCAGGAGAATGGGGTGGGGAGATGGAAAGCGGGAGAATGGGGCGGGGTGATGGAAAGAGGGAGAATGGGGCGGGGTGATGGAAAGCGGGAGAATGGGGCGGGGTGATGGAAAGCAGGAGAATGGGGCGGGGTGATGGAAAGAGGGAGAATGGGGAGGGGTGATGGAAAGCGGGAGAATGGGGCGGGGTGATGGAAAGCGGGAGAATGGGGCGGGGTGATGCAAAGCGGGAGAATGGGGCGGGGTGATGGAAAGCGGGAGAATGGGGCGGGATGATGGAAAGCGGAAGAATGGGGCAGGGTGATGGAAAGCGGGAGAATGGGGCGGGGTGATGGAAAGAGGGAGAATGGGGCGGGATGATGGAAAGCGGGAGAATGGGGCGGGGTGATGGAAAGCGGGAGAATGGAAAGGGGTGATGGAAAGCGGGAAAATGGGGCGGGGTGATAGAAAGCGGGAGAATGGGGCGGGGTGATGGAAAGAGGGAGAATGGGGCGGGGTGATGGAATGCGGGAGAATGGGGCGGGGTGATGGAAAGCGGGAGAATGGGGCGGGGTGATGGAAAGAGGGAGAATGGGGCAAGGTGATGGAAAGAGGGAGAATGAGGCGGGGTGATGGAAAGAGGGAGAATGGGGCGGGGTGATGGAAAGAGGTAGAATGGGGCAGAGTGATCGAAAGCGAGAGAATGGGGCGGGGTGATGGAGAGCAAGAGAATGGGGCGGGGTGATGGAAAGCGGGAGAATGGGACGGGGTGATGGAAAGAGGGAGAATGGGGCCGGGTGATGGAAAGCGGGAGAATAGGGCGGGGTGATGGAAAGCGGGAGAATGGGGCGGGGTGATGGAAAACGGGGGAATGGGGCGGGGTGATGGAAAGCGAGAGAGATTCTGCTCAACTGCATCGACTGTGGGATGGGATGATGAGACTGGTGGTTGAAACCTGGTGATTGGTAATAAACGTGTTATTTCTAGACGTCTCAAAGTAACTCTTTCATCACGTGGCTGGTGAGATGAAAGTAAATCTTTCATCAGATGGTGAGATGAAAGTTATTATTCGTCAGATGGTGAGATGAAAGTAACTCTTTGAACAGGTGGTGAGATGAAAGTAACTCTTCCATCAGATGGTGAGATGAAAGTAACTCTTTCGTCAGATAGTGAGATGAAAGTTATTATTCATCAGATGGTGAGATGAAAGAAACTCTTTCATCAGATGGTGAGATGAAAGTAACTCTTTCATCAGATGGTGAGATGGAAATTATTATTCATCAGATGGTGAAATGAAAGTAACTCTTTCATCAGATGGTGAGATGAAAGTACCTTTTTCATCAGATGGTGAGATGAAAGTAACTCTTTCATCAGATGGTGAGATGAAAGTACCTCTTTCATCAGATGCTGAGATGAAAGTACCTCTTTCATCAGATGGTGAGATGAAAGTAACTCTTTCATCAAATGGTGAGATGAAAGTACCTCTTTCATCAAATGGTGAGATGAAAGTAACTCTTTCATCAGATGGTGAGATGAAAGCAACTCTTTCATCAGATGGTGAGATGAAAGTACCTCTTTCATCAGATGGTGAGATCAAAGTAACTCTTTCATCAGATGGTGAGATGAAAGCAACTCTTTCATCAGATGGTGAGATGAAAGTACCTCTTTCATCAGATGGTGATATGAAACTAATTCTTTCATCAGATGGTGAGATGAAAGTACCTCTTTCATCAGATGGTGAGATGAAAGCAACTCTTTGATCAGATGGTGAGATGAAAGCAACTCTTTCTTCAGATGGTGAGATGAAAGTAACTCTTTCATCAGATGGTGAGATGAAAGTACCTCTTTCCTCAGATGGTGAGATGAAAGTAATTCTTTAATCAGATAGTGAGATAAAAGTACCTCTTTTATCAGATGGTGAGATGAAAGTAACTCTTTCATCAGATGGTGAGATGAAAGTAACTCTTTCATCAGATGGTGAGATGAAAGTAACTCTTTCATCAGATGGTGAGATGAAGGTTGTTATTCATTAGATGGTTAGATGAAAGTACCTCTTTCATCAGATGGTGAAATGAAAGTAACTCTTTCATCAGATGGTGAGATGAAAGTACCTCTTTCATCAGATGGTGAGATGAAAGTACCTCTGTCATCAGATGGTGAGATGAAAGTACCTCTGTCATCACGTGCCTGGTGTCCTCTGATCCGCAGTGAGTTTCCCTGTCATCGCCAGTGTGGGGCACGGGCTCATTTTCCTCATGTACTTGCCCCCCTTCCCCCTCCTCCCTCTGCTGGTCAGCGCCAAGGCTTTCGACCTTGACCTGGTGGGCCTGGTGTCGTCAAGCCCTCAAGCCTTCAAGCCTTCAAGCCCTCAAGCCCTCAAGCCCTCAAGCCTTCAAGCCTTCAAGCCTTCAAGCCTTCAAGCCTTCAAGAATTCAAGCCTTCAAGCCCTCAAGCCCTCAAGCCCTCAAGCCCTCAAGCCCTCAAGCCCTCACGCCCTCACGCCCTCAAGCCCTCAAGCCCTCACGCCCTCAAGCCCTCAAGCCTTCAAGCCCTCAAGCCTTCAAGCCATCAAGCACTCAAGCCTTCAAGCCCTCAAGCCCTCAAGCCTTCAAGCCTTCAATCCCTCAAGCCCTCAAGCCTTCAAGCCTTCAAGCCCTCAAGCCCTCAAGCCTTCAAGCCTTCAAGCCCTCAAGCCTTCAAGCCTTCAAGCCTTCAAGCCCTCAAGCCCTCAAGTCCTCAAGCCTTCAAGCCCTCAAGCCCTCAAGCCCTCAAGCCCTTAAGCCTTCAAGCCTTCAAGCCTTCAAGCCTTCAAGCCTTCACGCCCTCAAGCCCTCAAGCCCTCAAGCCCTCAAGCCCTCAAGCCTTCAAGCCTTCAAGCCTTCAAGCCTTCAAGCCCTCAAGCCCTCAAGCCTTCAAGCCTTCAAGCCTTCAAGCCTTCAAGCCCTCAAGCCCTCAAGCCCTGAAGCCCTCAAGCATTCAAGCCTTCAAGCCGTCAAGCCTTCAAGCCTTCAAGCCCTCAACCCATCAAGCCTTCAAGCCCTCAAGCCCTTAAGCCCTCAAGCCCTCAAGCCCTTAAGCACTCAAGCCCTCAAGCCTTCAAGCCTTCAAGCCTTCAAGCCTTCAAGCCTTCAAGTCCTCAAGCCCTCAAGCCCTCAAGCCTTTAAGCCCTCAAGCCCTCAAGCCTTCAAGCCTTCAAGCCTTCAAGTCCTCAAGCCCTCAAGCCCTCAAGCCTTCAAGCCCTCAAGCCTTCAAGCCTTCAAGCCTTCAAGCCTTCAAGCTTTCAGGCCCTCAAGCCCTCAAGCCTTCAAGCCCTCAAGCCCTCAAGCCCTCAAGCCTTCAAGCCTTCAAGCCTTCAAGCCTTCAAGCCCTCAAGCCATCAAGCCTTCAAGCCCTCAAGCCCTCAAGCCCTTAAGCCCTCAAGCCCTTAAGCACTCAAGCCCTCAAGCCTTCAAGCCTTCAAGCCTTCAAGCCTTCAAGCCTTCAAGTCCTCAAGCCCTCAAGCCCTCAAGCCTTTAAGCCCTCAAGCCCTCAAGCCTTCAAGCCTTCAATCCTTCAAGCCTTCAAGCCTTCAAGCCCTCAAGCCTTCAAGCCCTCAAGCCTTCAAGCCCTCAAGCCCTCAAGCCCTCGAGCCTTCAAGCCTTCAAGCCCTCAAGCCCTCAAGCCCTCAAGCCCTCAAGCCTTCAAGCCCTCAAGCCTTCAAGCCTTCAAGCCCTCAAGGCCCCATTCTCCCGCTTTCCATCACCCCGCCCCATTCTCCCGCTTTCCATCACCCCGCCCCATTCTCCCGCTTTCTATCACCCCGCTCCATTCTCCCGCTTTCCATCACCTCGCCCCATTCTCCCGCTTTCTATCACCCCGCCCCATTCTCCCTCTTTCCTTCACCCCGCCCCGTTCTCCCGCTTCCCATCAGCCCGCCCCATTCTCCCTCTTCCCATCACCCCGCCCCATTCTCCCGCTTTCGATCACCTCGCCCAATGCTCCCGCTTTCCATCACCCCGCCCCATTCTCCCGCTTTCCTTCACCCCGCCCCATTCTCCCGCTTTCCATCACCCCGCCCCATTCTTCCACTTTCCATCACCCCCCTCCATTCTCCCGCTTTCCATCACCGCGCCCCATTCTCCCGCTTTCTATCACCCCCCCTCCATTCTCCCTCTTTCCTTCACCCTGCCCCATTCTCTTGCTTCCCATCACCCCGCCCCATTCTCCCTGTTCCCATCACCCCGCCCCATTTTCCCGCTTTCGATCACCCCGCCCCATTCTCCCGCTTTCCATCACCCTGCCCCATCCTCCCGCTTTCCATCACCCCGCCCCATTCTCCCGCTTTCCATCACCCCGCCCCATTCTCCCTCTTTCCATCACCCCGCCCCATTCTCCCGCTTTCCATCACCCCGCTCCATTCTCCTGCTTTCCATCACCCCGCCCCATTCTCCCGCTTTCCATCATCCCGCCCCATTCTCCCGCTTTCCATCACCCCGCCCCATTCTCCAACTTTCCATCACCCCGCCCCATTCTCCCGCTTTCCATCACCCCGCCCCATTCTCCCGCTTTCCATCACCCCGCCCCATTCTCATGCCTTCCATCACCCCGCCCCATTCTCCCGCTTTCCATCACCCCGCCCCATTCTCCAACTTTCCATCACCCCGCCCATTCTCCCACTTTTCATCACCCCGCCCCATTCTCCCGTTTTCCATCACCCCGCCCCATTCTCTCGCTTTCCATCACCCCGCCCCATTCTCCCGCTTTCCATCACCCCGCCCCATTCTCCCTCTTTCCATCACCCCGCCCCATTCTCCCCCTTTCCATCACCACGCCCCCATACTCCCGCATTCCATCACCTCGCCCCATTCTCCCGCTTTCCATTACCCCGCCCCATTCTCCCGCTTTCCATCAAGCCGCCCATTCTCCTACTTTCCATCACCCCGCCCCATTCTCCCGCTTTCCATCACCCCGCCCCATTCTCCCTCTTTCCATCACCCCGCCCCATTCTCCCTCTTTCCATCACCCCGCCCCATTGTCCCTCTTTCCATCACCCCGCCCCATTCTCCCGCTTTCCATCACCCCGCCCCATTCTTTCGATTTCTATCATCCCGCCCCATTCTCCAGCCTCTTTCCATCACCCCGCCCCATTCTCCCGCTTTCCATCACCCCGCCCCATTCTCCCGCTTTCCATCACCCCGCCCCATTCTCCCTCTTTCGATCACCCCGCCCCATTCTCCCACTTTCCATCACCCCGCCCCATTCTCCCGCCTCTTTCCATCACCCCGCCCCATTCTCCCGCTTTCCATCACCCCGCCCCATTCTCCCGCTTTCCATCACCCCGCCCCATTCTCCCGCTTTCCATCACCCCGCCCCATTCTCCAGCTTTCCATCACCCCGCCCATTCTCCACATTCCATCACCCCGCCCCATTCTCCCGCTTTCCATCACCCCGCCCCATTCTCCCGCTTTCCATCACCCCGCCCCATTCTCCTGCTTTCCATCACCCCGCCCCATGCTCCCGCTTTCCATCACCCCGCCCCATTCTCCCGCTTTCCATCGCCCTTCCCCATTCTCCCTCATTCCATCACCCCGCCTCATTCTCCCTTTTTACATCACCCCGCCCCATTCTCCCTCTTCCATCACCCCGCCCCATTCTTCCGCTTTCCATCACCCCGCCCCATTCTCCCGCTTTCCATCACCCCGCCCCATTCTCCTGCTTTCCATCACCCCGCCCCATGCTCCCGCTTTCCATCACCCCGCCCCATTCTCCCGCTTTCCATCGCCCTGCCCCATTCTCCCGCTTTCCATCATCCCGCCCCATTCTCTTGCTTTCCATCACCCTGCCTCATTCTACCTCTTTTCATCATCCCGCCCCATTCTCCCTCATTCCATCACCCCGCCTCATTCTCCCTTTTTACATCACCCCGCCCCATTCTCCCTCTTCCATCACCCCACCCCATTCTTCCGCTTTCCATCACCCTGCCCCATTCTCCCGCTTTCCATCACCCCGCCCCATTCTCCCGCTTTCCATCACCCTGCCCATTCTCCACATTCCTTCACCCCGCCCAATTCTCCCACTTTCCATCACCCCGCCCCATTCTCCCGCTTTCCATCACCCCGCCCCATTCTCCCGCTTCCCATCACCCCGCCCCATTCTCCCTCTTTCCATCACCCCGCCCCATTCTCCCTCTATCCATCACCCCGCCCCATTCTCCCGCTTTCCATCAGCCCGCCTCATTCTCCCGCTTTCCATCACCCCGCCCCACGCTTTCCATCGCCCTGCCCTATTCTCCCGCTTTCCATCACCCCGCCCCATTCTCTTGCTTTCCATCACCCTGCCCCATTCTTCCGCTTTCCATCACCCCGCCCCATTCTCGCTCTTTCACTCACCCCGCCCCATTCTCACGCTTTCCATCACCCCGCCCCATTCTCCCGCTTTCCATCACCCCGCCCCATTCTCCCGATTTCCATCACCCCGCCCCATTCTCCCGCTTTCCATCACCCCGCCCCATTCTCCCGCTGTCCATCACCCCGCCCCATTCTCCCGCTTTCCATAACCCCGCCCCATTCTCCCTCTTTCCATCCTTCCGCACCATTCTCCCGGTTTCCATCACCCCGCCCCATTCTCCCGCTTTCCATCACCCCGCGCCATTCTCCCGCTTTCCATCACCCCGCCCCATTCTCCCGCTTTCCATCACCCCGCCCCATTCTCCCGCTTTCCATCACCCCGCCCCATTCTCCCGCTGTCCATCACCCCGCCCCATTCTCCCGCTTTCCATAACCCCGCCCCATTCTCCCTCTTTCCATCCTTCCGCCCCATTCTCCCGGTTTCCATCACCCCGCCCCATTCTCCCGCTTTCCATCACCCCGCGCCATTCTCCCGCTTTCCATCACCCCGCCCCATTCTCCCGCTTTCCATCACCCCGCCCCATTCTCTCGCTTTCCATCACCCCGCCCCATTTTACCTCTTTCCATCACCCCGTTCCATTCTCCCTCTTTCCGTCACCCCACCTCATTCTCCCTCTTTCCATCACCCCGCTCCATTCTCCCTCTTTCGATCACCCCGCCCCATTCTCCCGCTTTCCTTCACCCCACCCCATTCTCCTGCTTTCCATCACCCCGCCCCATTCTCCCGCTTTCCATCACCCCGCCCCATTCTCCCTCTTTCGATCACCCCGCCTCATTCTCCCGCTTTCCATCACCCCGCCCCCTTCTCCCGCTTTCCATCACCCCGCCCCATTCTCCCTCTTTCTATCACCCCGCCCCATTCTCCCGCTTTCCATCACCCCGCCCCATTCTCCCGCTTTCCATCACCCCACCCCAGTCTCCCGCTTTCCATCACCCCGCCCCATTCTCCCGCTTTCCATCACCCCGCCCCATTCTCCCTCTTTCCATCACCCCACCCCATTCTCCAGCTTTCCATCACCCCGCCCTATTCTCCCTCTTTCCATCACCCCGCCCCATTCTCCCGCTTTCCATCACCCCGCCCCGTTCTCCCACTTTCCATCACCCCGCCCCATTCTCCCGCTTTCCATCACCCCGCCCCATTCTCCCGCTTTCCATCACCACGCCCCATTTTCCCGCTTTCCATCACCCCGCCCCACTCTCCAACTTTCCATCACCACGCCCCATTCTCCCGCTTTCCATCACCCCGCCCCATTCTCCCGCATTCCATCACCCAGCCCCATTCTCCCGCTTTCCATCACCCCGCCCCATTCTCCCGCTTTCCATCACCCCGCCCCATTCTCCCGCTTTCCATCACCCCGCCCCATTCTCCCGCTTTCCATCACCCCGCCCCATTCTCCCGCTTTCCATCACCCCGCCCCATTCCCCCTCTTTCCATCACCCTGCCCCATTCTCCTGCTTTCAATCACCCCTCCCTATTCTCCCGCTTTCCATCACCCCGCCCCATTCTCCCGCTTTCCATCACCCCGCCCCATTCTCCCGCTTTCAATCACCCCGCCCCATTTTCCCGCTTTCCATCACCCCGCCCCAATCTCCTGCTTTCCATCACCCTGCCCCAATCTTCCGCTTTCCATCACCCCGGCCCATTCTCCCTCCTTCCATCACCCCGCCCCATTCTCCCGCTTTCCATCACCCCGCCCCATTCTCCCGCTTTCCATCACCCCGCTCCATTCTCCCGCTTTCCATCACCCCGCCCCATTCTCCCGCTTTCCATCACCCCGCCCCATTCTCCCGCTTTCCATCACCCCGCCCCATTCTCCCTCCTTCCATCACCCCGCCCCATTCTCCCGCTTTCTATCACCCCGCCCCATTCTCCCTCCTTCCATCAACCCGCCCCATTCTCCCTCCTTCCATCACCCCGCCCCATTCTCCCGCTTTCCATCACCCCGCCCCATTCTCCAGCTTCCCATAACCCCACCCCATTCTCCTGCTTTCCATCACCCCGCCACATTCTCCCGCTTTCCATCACCCCGCCCCATTCTCCTTCCTTCCATCACCCCGCCCCATTCTCCCTCCGTCCATCACCCCGCCCCATTCTCCCGCTTTCCATCACCCCGCCCCATTCTCCCGCTTTCCATCACCCCACCCCATTCTCCTGCTTTCCATCACCCCGCCCCCTTCTCCCTCCTTCCATCACCCCGCCCCATTCTCCCTCCTTCCATCACCCCGCCCCATTCTCCCGCTTTCCATCAGCCCGCCCCATTCTCCCGCTTTCAATCACCCCGCCCCTTTCTCCCGCTTTCCATCTCCCCGCCCCATTCTCCCGCTTTCCATCACCCCGCCCCATTCTCCCGCTTTCCATCACCCCGCCCCTTTCTTCCGCTTCCCATCATCCCGCCCCATTCCCCCGCTTTCCATCACCCGCCCCATTCTCCCGCTTTCCATCACCCTGCCCCAATCTTCCGCTTTCCATCACCCCGCCCCATTCTCCCTCCTTCCATCACCCCGCCCCATTCTCCCGCTTTCCATCACCCCGCCCCATTCTCCCGCTTTCCATCACCCCGCCCCATTCTCCCGCTTTCCATCACCCCGCCCCATTCTCCCGCTTTCCATCACCCCGCCCCATTCTCCCTACTTCCATCACCCCGCCCCATTCTCCCGCTTTCCATCATCCCGCCCCATTCTCCCTCCTTCCATCACCCCGCCTCATTCTCCCTCCTTCCATCACCCCGCCCCATTCTCCCGCTTTCCATCACCCCGCCCCATTCTCCCGCTTCCCATAACCCCACCCCATTCTCCCGCTTTCCATCACCCCGCCACATTCTCCCGCTTTCCATCACCCCGCCCCATTCTCCTTCCTTCCATCACCCCGCCCCATTCTCCCTCCTTCCATCACCCTGCCCCATTCTCCCGCTTTCCATCAGCCCGCCCCATTCTCCCGCTTTCCATCACCCCGCCCCATTCTCCCGCTTTCCATCACCCCGCCCCATTCTCCCGCTTTCCATCACCCCGCCCCATTCTCCCGCTTTCCATCACCCCGCCCCCTTCTCCCTCCTTCCATCACCCCGCCCCATTCTCCCTCCTTCCATCAGCCCGCCCCATTCTCCCGCTTTCCATCAGCCCGCCCCATTCTCCCGCTTTCTATCACCCCGCCCCTTTCTCCCGCTTTCCATCTCCCCGCCCCATTCTCCCGCTTTCCATCACCCCGCCCCATTCTTCCGCTTCCCATCATCCCGCCCCATTCCCCCGCTTTCCATCACCCCTCCCCATTCTCCCTCCTTCCATCACCCCGCCCCATTCTCCCGCTTTCCATCACCCGCCCCATTCTCCCGCTTTCCATCACCCGCCCCATTCTCCCGCTTTCCATCACCCCGCCCCATTCTCCCGCTTTCCATCAACCCGCCCCATTCTCCCGCTTTTCATCACCCCGCCCCATTCTCCCGCTTTCCAACACCCCGCCCCATTCTCCCGCTTTCCATCACCCCGCCCCATTCTCCCGCTTTCCATCACTCCGTCCCATTCTCCCGCTTTCCATCACCCCGCCCCATTCTCCCACTTTCCATCACCCCCCCCCATTCTCCCTCCTTCCATCACCCCGCCTCATTCTCCCTCCTTCCATCACCCCGCCCCATTCTCCCGCTTTTATCACCCCGCCCCATTCTCTCGCTTTCTATCACCCAGCCCCATTCTCCCGCTTTCCATCACCCCGCCCCATTTTCCCGCTTTCCATCACCCCGCCCCATTCTCCCGCTATCCTTCACCCTGCCCCAATCTCCCGCTTTCCATCACCCCGCCCCATTCTCCCTCCTTCCATCACCCCGCCCCATTCTCCCGCTTTCCATCACCCCGCCCCATTCTCCCGCTTTCCATCACCCAGCCCCATTCTCCCGCTTTCCATCACCCCGCCCCATTCTCCCGCTTTCCATCACCCCGCCCCATTCTCCCGCTTTCCATCACCCCGCCCCATTCTCCCTCCTTCCATCACCCCGCCCCATTCTCCCGCTTTCCATCACCCCGCCCCATTCTCCCTCCTTCCATCACCCCGCCCCATTCTCCCTCCTTCCATCACCCCGCCCCATTCTCCTGCTTTCCATCACCCCGCCCCATTCTCCCGCTTCCCATAACCCCACCCCATTCTCCCACTTTCCATCACCCCGCCACATTCTTCCGCTTTCTATCACCCCGCCCCATTCTCCCTCCTTCCATCACCCCGCCCCATTCTCCCGCTTTCCATCACCCCGCCCCATTCTCCCGATTTCCATCACCCCGCCCCATTCTCCCGCTTTCCATCACCCCGCCCCATTCTCCCGCTTTCCATCACCCCGCCCCATTCTCCCGCTTTCCATCATCCCGCCCCATTCTCCCTCCTTCCATCACCTCGCCCCATTCTCCCGCTTTCCATCACTCCGCCCCATTCTCCCTCCTTCCATCACCCCGCCCCATTCTCCCTCCTTCCATCACCCCGCCCCATTCTCCCGCATTCCATCACCCCGCCCCATTCTCTTGCTTCCCATAACCCCACCCCATTCTCCCGCTTTCCATCACCCCGCCACATTCTCCCACTTTCCATCACCCCGCCACCTTCTCTCTCCTTCCAACACCCCGCCCCATTCTCCCTCCTTCCATCACTGCGCCCCATTCTCCTGCTTTCCATCACCCCGCCCCATTCTCCCGCTTTCCATCACTCCGTCCCATTCTCCCGCTTTCCATCACCCCGCCCCATTCTCCCACTTTCCATCACCCCCCCCCATTCTCCCTCCTTCCATCACCCCGCCTCATTCTCCCTCCTTCCATCACCCCGCCCCATTCTCCCGCTTTTATCACCCCGCCCCATTCTCTCGCTTTCTATCACCCAGCCCCATTCTCCCGCTTTCCATCACCCCGCCCCATTTTCCCGCTTTCCATCACCCCGCCCCATTCTCCCGCTTTCCTTCACCCTGCCCCAATCTCCCGCTTTCCATCACCCCGCCCCATTCTCCCTCCTTCCATCACCCTGCCCCATTCTCCCGCTTTCCATCACCCCGCCCCATTCTCCCGATTTCCATCACCCCGCCCCATTCTCCCGCTTTCCATCACCCCGCCCCATTCTCCCAATTTCCATCACCCCGCCCCATTCTCCCGCTTTCCATCACCCCGCCCCATTCTCCCGCTTTCCATCACCCCGCCCCATTCTCCCGCTTTCCATCATCCCGCCCCATTCTCCCTCCTTCCATCACCTCGCCCCATTCTCCCGCTTTCCATCACTCCGCCCCATTCTCCCTCCTTCCATCACCCCGCCCCATTCTCCCTCCTTCCATCACCCCGCCCCATTCTCCCGCATTCCATCACCCCGCCCCATTCTCCTGCTTCCCATAACCCCACCCCATTCTCCCGCTTTCCATCACCCCGCCACATTCTCCCACTTTCCATCACCCCGCCCCCTTCTCTCTCCTTCCAACACCCCGCCCCATTCTCCCTCCTTCCATCACCGCGCCCCATTCTCCTGCTTTCCATCACCCCGCCCCATTCTCCCGCTTTCCATCACTCCGTCCCATTCTCCCGCTTTCCATCACCCCGCCCCATTCTCCCACTTTCCATCACCCCCCCCCATTCTCCCTCCTTCCATCACCCCGCCTCATTCTCCCTCCTTCCATCACCCCGCCCCATTCTCCCGCTTTTATCACCCCGCCCCATTCTCTCGCTTTCTATCACCCAGCCCCATTCTCCCGCTTTCCATCACCCCGCCCCATTTTCCCGCTTTCCATCACCCCGCCCCATTCTCCCGCTTTCCTTCACCCTGCCCCAATCTCCCGCTTTCCATCACCCCGCCCCATTCTCCCTCCTTCCATCACCCCGCCCCATTCTCCCGCTTTCCATCACCCCGCCCCATTCTCCCGCTTTCCATCACCCAGCCCCATTCTCCCGCTTTCCATCACCCCGCCCCATTCTCCCGCTTTCCATCACCCCGCCCCATTCTCCCGCTTTCCATCACCCCGCCCCATTCTCCCTCCTTCCATCACCCCGCCCCATTCTCCCGCTTTCCATCACCCCGCCCCATTCTCCCTCCTTCCATCACCCCGCCCCATTCTCCCTCCTTCCATCACCCCGCCCCATTCTTCCGCTTCCCATCATCCCGCCCCATTCCACCGCTTACCATCACCCCTCCCCATTATGCCTCCGTCCATCACCCCGCCCCATTCTTCCGCTTTCCATCACCCGCCCCATTCTCCCGCTTTCCATCACCCCGCCCCATTCTCCCGCTTTCCATCACCCCGCCCCATTCTTTTGCTTTCCATCACCCCGCCCCATTCTCCCGCTTTCCATCACCCTGCCCCATTCACCCGCTTTCCATCACCCGCCCCATTCTCCCGCTTTCCATCACCCCGCCCCATTCTCCCGCTTTCCATCACCCCGCCCCATTCTCCCGCCTTCCATCACCCCGCCCCATTCTCCCGCTTTCCATCACCGCGCCCCATTCTCCCTCTTTCCATCACTCCGCCCCATTCTCCCGCTTTCCATCACCCCGACCCATTCTCCCACTTTCCATCACCCCGCCCCATTCTCCCTCCTTCCATCACCTCGCCTCATTTTCCCTCCTTCCATCACCCCGCCCCATTCTCCCGCTTTCCATCACCCCGCCCCATTCTCCCGCTTTCCATCACCCAGCCCCATTCTCCCGCTTTCCATCACCCTGCCCCAATCTCCCGCTTTCCATCACCCCGCCCCATTCTCCCGCTTTCCATCACCCTGCCCCATTCTCCCGCTTTCCATCACCTCGCCCCATTCTCCCGCTTTCCATCACCCCGCCCCATTCTCCCGCTTTCCATCACTCCGCCCCATTCTCCCGCTTTCCATCACTCCGACCCATTCTCCCACTTTCCATCACCCCGCCCCATTCTCCCTCCTTCCATCACCTCGCCTCATTCTCCCTCCTTCCATCACCCCGCCCCATTCTCCCGCTTTCCATCACCCCGCCCCGTTCTCCCGCTTTCCATCACCCAGCCCCATTCTCCCACTTTCCATCACCCCGCCCCATTCTCCCGCTTTCCATCACCCTGCCCCAATCTCCCGCTTTCCATCACCCCGCCCCATTCTCCCGCTTTCCATCACCCTGCCCCATTCTCCCGCTTTCCATCACCCCACTCCATTCTCCCGCTTTCCATCACCCAGCCCCATTCTCCCGCTTTTCATCACCCCGCCCCATTCTCCCGCTTTCCATCACCCCACCCCATTCTCCCTCCTTCCATCACCCCGTCCCATTCTCCCTCCTTCCATCACCCCGCCCCATTCTCCCGCTTTCCATCACCCCGCCCCATTCTCCCTCCTTCCATCACCCCGCCCCATTCTCCCTCCTTCCATCACCTCGCCCCATTCTCCCGCTTTCCATCACCCTGCCACATTCTCCCGCTTTCTATCACCCCGCCCCATTCTCCCTCTTTCCATCACCTCGCCCCATTCTCCCGCTTTCCATCACCCCGCCCCATTCTCCCGATTTCCATCACCCCGCTCCATTCTCCCGCTTTCCATCACCCCGCCCCATTCTCCCGCTTTCCATCATCCCGCCCCATTCTCCCTCCTTCCATCACCCCGCCCCATTCTTCCGCTTCCCATCATCCCGCCCCATTCCCCCGCTTTCCATCACCCCTCCCCATTCTCCCTCCTTCCATCACCCCGCCCCATTCTCTCGCTTTCCATCACCCCGCCCCATTCTCCCGCTTTCCATCACCCCATCCCATTCTCCCGCTTTCCATCACTCCGCCCCATTATCCCTCCTTCCATCACCCCGCCCCATTCTCCCTCCTTCCATCACCCCGCCCCATTCTCCCGCTTTCCATCACCCCGCCTCATTCTCCCGCTTCCCATAACCCCACCCCATTCTCCCGCTTTCCATCACCCCGCCACATTCTCCCACTTTCCATCACCCCGCCCCCTTCTCTCTCCTTCCATCACCCCGCCCCATTCTCCCTCCTTCCATCACCCTGCCCCATTCTCCCGCTTTCCATCAGCCCGCCCCATTCTCCCGCTTTCCATCACCCCGACCCATTCTCCCACTTTCCATCACCCCGCCCCATTCTCCCTCCTTCCATCACCTCGCCTCATTTTCCCTCCTTCCATCACCCCGCCCCATTCTCCCGCTTTCCATCACCCCGCCCCATTCTCCCGCTTTCCATCACCCAGCCCCATTCTCCCGCTTTCCATCACCCTGCCCCAATCTCCCGCTTTCCATCACCCCGCCCCATTCTCCCGCTTTCCATCACCCTGCCCCATTCTCCCGCTTTCCATCACCTCGCCCCATTCTCCGGCTTTCCATCACCCCGCCCCATTCTCCCGCTTTCCAACACTCCGCCCCATTCTCCCGCTTTCCATCACTCCGACCCATTCTCCCACTTTCCATCACCCCGCCCCATTCTCCCTCCTTCCATCACCTCGCCTCATTCTCCCTCCTTCCATCACCCCGCCCCATTCTCCCGCTTTCCATCACCCCGCCCCGTTCTCCCGCTTTCCATCACCCAGCCCCATTCTCCTGCTTTCCATCACCCCGCCCCATTCTCCCGCTTTCCATCACCCTGCCCCAATCTCCCGCTTTCCATCACCCCGCCCCATTCTCCCGCTTTCCATCACCCTGCCCCATTCTCCCGCTTTCCATCACCTCGCCCCATTCTCCCGCTTTCCATCACCCAGCCCCATTCTCCCGCTTTCCATCACCCCGCCCCATTCTCCCGCTTTCCATCACCCCACCCCATTCTCCCTCCTTCCATCACCCCGTCCCATTCTCCCTCCTTCCATCACCCCGCCCCATTCTCCCGCTTTCCATCACCCCGCCCCATTCTCCCTCCTTCCATCACCCCGCCCCATTCTCCCTCCTTCCATCACCTCGCCCCATTCTCCCGCTTTCCATCACCCCGCCACATTCTCCCGCTTTCTATCACCCCGCCCCATTCTCCCTCTTTCCATCACCCCGCCCCATTCTCCCGCTTTCCATCACCCCGCCCCATTCTCCCGATTTCCATCACCCCGCCCCATTCTCCCGCTTTCCATCACCCCGCCCCATTCTCCCGCTTTCCATCATCCCGCCCCATTCTCCCTCCTTCCATCACCCCGCCCCATTCTTCCGCTTCCCATCATCCCGCCCCATTCCCCCGCTTTCCATCACCCCTCCCCATTCTCCCTCCTTCCATCACCCCGCCCCATTCTCTCGCTTTCCATCACCCCACCCCATTCTCCCGCTTTCCATCACCCCGTCCCATTCTCCCGCTTTCCATCACTCCGCCCCATTATCCCTCCTTCCATCACCCCGCCCCATTCTCCCTCCTTCCATCACCCCGCCCCATTCTCCCGCTTTCCATCACCCCGCCTCATTCTCCCGCTTCCCATAACCCCACCCCATTCTCCCGCTTTCCATCACCCCGCCACATTCTCCCACTTTCCATCACCCCGCCCCCTTCTCTCTCCTTCCATCACCCCGCCCCATTCTCCCGCTTTCCATCACCCCGCCCCATTCTCCCGCTTTCCATCACCCAGCCCCATTCTCCCGCTTTCCATCACCCTGCCCCAATCTCCCGCTTTCCATCACCCCGACCCATTCTCCCGCTTTCCATCACCCTGCCCCATTCTCCCGCTTTCCATCACCTCGCCCCATTCTCCCGCTTTCCATCACCCCGCCCCATTCTCCCGCTTTCCATCACTCCGCCCCATTCTCCCGCTTTCCATCACTCCGACCCATTCTCCCACTTTCCATCACCCCGCCCCATTCTCCCTCCTTCCATCACCTCGCCTCATTCTCCCTCCTTCCATCACCCCGCCCCATTTTCCCGCTTTCCATCACCCCGCCCCGTTCTCCCGCTTTCCATCACCCAGCCCCATTCTCCCGCTTTCCATCACCCCGCCCCATTCTCCCGCTTTCCATCACCCTGCCCCAATCTCCCGCTTTCCATCACCCCGCCCCATTCTCCCGCTTTCCATCACCCTGCCCCATTCTCCCGCTTTCCATCACCCCACTCCATTCTCCCGCTTTCCATCACCCAGCCCCATTCTCCCACTTTCCATCACCCCGCCCCATTCTCCCGCTTTCCATCACCCCACCCCATTCTCCCTCCTTCCATCACCCCGTCCCATTCTCCCTCCTTCCATCACCCCGCCCCATTCTCCCGCTTTCCATCACCCCGCCCCATTCTCCCTCCTTCCATCACCCCGCCCCATTCTCCCTCCTTCCATCACCTCGCCCCATTCTCCCGCTTTCCATCACCCCGCCACATTCTCCCGCTTTCTATCACCCTGCCCCATTCTCCCTCTTTCCATCACCCCGCCCCATTCTCCCGCTTTCCATCACCCCGCCCCATTCTCCCGATTTCCATCACCCCGCCCCATTCTCCCGCTTTCCATCACCCCGCCCCATTCTCCCGCTTTCCATCATCCCGCCCCATTCTCCCTCCTTCCATCACCCCGCCCCATTCTTCCGCTTCCCATCATCCCGCCCCATTCCCCCGCTTTCCATCACCCCTCCCCATTCTCCCTCCTTCCATCACCCCGCCCCATTCTCTCGCTTTCCATCACCCCGCCCCATTCTCCCGCTTTCCATCACCCCGTCCCATTCTCCCGCTTTCCATCACTCCGCCCCATTATCCCTCCTTCCATCACCCCGCCCCATTCTCCCTCCTTCCATCACCCCGCCCCATTCTCCCGCTTTCCATCACCCCGCCTCATTCTCCCGCTTCCCATAACCCCACCCCATTCTCCCGCTTTCCATCACCCTGCCACATTCTCCCACTTTCCATCACCCCGCCCCCTTCTCTCTCCTTCCATCACCCCGCCCCATTCTCCCTCCTTCCATCACCCTGCCCCATTCTCCCGCTTTCCATCAGCCCGCCCCATTCTCCCGCTTTCCATCACCCCTCCCCTTTCTCCCGCTTTCCATCACCCCTCCCCATTCTCCCTCCTTCCATCACCCCGCCCCATTCTCTCGCTTTCCATCACCCCGCCCCATTCTCCCGCTTCCCATCACCCCGCCCCATTCTTCCTCCTTCCATCACCCTGCCCCATTCTCCCGCTTTCCATCACCCCGCCCCATTCTCCCTCCTTCCATCACCCCGCCCCATTCTCCCTCATTCCATCACCCCGCCCCATTCTCCCGCTTTCCATCACCCCGCCCCATTCTCCCGCTTCCCATAACCCCACCCCATTCTCTTGTTTTCCATCACCCCGCCACATTTTCCCACTTTCCATCACCCCGCCCCCTTCTCTCTCCTTCCATCACCCCGCCCCATTTTCCCTCCTTCCATCACCCCGCCCCATTCTCCCGCTTTCCATCAGCCCGCCCCATTCTCCCGCTTTCCATCACCCCGCCCCTTTCTCCCGCTTTCCATCACCCCACCCCATTCTCCCGCTTTCCATCACTTCGCCCCATTCTCCCGCTTTCCATCACCCCGACCCATTCTCCCACTTTCCATCACCCCGCCCCATTCTCCCTCCTTCCATCACCCCGCCTCATTCTCCCTCCTTCAATCACCCCGCCCCATTCTCCCGCTTTCCATCACCCCGCCCCATTCTCCCGCTTTCCATCACTTAGCCCCATTCTCCCGCTTTCCATCATCCCGCCCCATTTTTCCGCTTTCCATCACCCCGCCCCATTCTCCCGCTTTCCATCACCGTGCCCCAATCTCCCGCTTTCCATCACCCCGCCCCCTTCTCCCTCCTTCCATCATCCCGCCCCATTCCCCCGCTTTCCATCACCCTGCCCCAATCTCCCCCTTTACATCACCCCACCCCGTTCTCCCTCCTTCCATCACCCCGCCCCATTCTCCCGCTTTCCATCACCCCGCCCCATTCTCCCTCTTTCCATCACCCAGCCCCATTCTCCCGCTTTCCATCACCCCGCCCCATTCTCCAGCTTTCCATCACCCCGCCCCATTCTCCCGCATTCCATCACCCCGCCCCATTCTCCCTCCTTCCATCACCCCGCCCCATTCACCCGCTTTCCATCACCCCGCCCCATTCTCCCTCCTTCCATCACCCCGCCCCATTCTCCCTCCTTCCATCACCCCGCCCCATTCTCCCGCTTTCCATCACCCCGCCCTGTTCTCCCGCTTCCCATAACCCCACCCCCTTCTCCCGCTTTCCATCACCCCGCCACATTCTCCCGCTTTCTATCACCCCGCCCCATTCTCCCTCCTTCCATCACCCCGCCCCATTCTCCCGCTTTCCATCACCCCGCCCCATTCTCCCGATTTCCATCACCCCGCCCCATTCTCCCGCTTTCCATCACCCCGCCCCATTCTCCCGCTTTCCATCATCCCGCCCCATTCTCCCTCCTTCCATCACCCCGCCCCATTCTCCCGCTTTCCATCACTTAGCCCCATTCTCCCGCTTTCCATCATCCCGCCCCATTTTTCCGCTTTCCATCACCCCGCCCCATTCTCCCGCTTTCCATCACCGTGCCCCAATCTCCCGCTTTCCATCACCCCGCCCCCTTCTCCCTCCTTCCATCACCCCGCCCCATTCCCCCACTTTCCATCACCCTGCCCCAATCTCCCCCTTTCCATCACCCCACCCCGTTCTCCCTCCTTCCATCACCCCGCCCCATTCTCCCGCTTTCCATCACCCCGCCCCATTCTCCCTCTTTCCATCACCCAGCCCCATTCTCCCGCTTTCCATCACCCCGCCCCATTCTCCCGCTTTCCATCACCCCGCCCCATTCTCCCGCTTTCCATCACCCCGCCCCGTTCACCCGCTTTCCATCACTCCGCCCCATTCTCCCTTCTTCCATCACCCCGCCCCATTCTCCCTCCTTCCATCACCCCGCCCCATTCTCCCGCTTTCCATCACCCCACCCCATTCTCCCGCTTCCCATAACCCCACCCCATTCTCCCGCTTTCCATCACCCCTGCCACATTCTCCCACTTTCCATCACCCCGCGGCCTTCTCTCTCCTTCCATCAACCCGCCCCATTCTCCCTCCTTCCATCACCCCGCCCCATTCTCCTGCTTTCCATCAGCCCGCCCCATTCTCCCGCTTTCCATCACCCCTCCCCTTTCTCCCGCTTTCCATCTCCCCGCCCCATTCTCCTGCTTTCCGTCACCCGGCCCCATTCTTCCGCTTCCCATCATCCCGCCCCATTCCCCCGCTTTCCGTCACCCCTCCCCATTCTCCCTCCTTCCATCACCCCGCCCCATTCTCCCGCTTTCCATCACCCCGCCCCATTCTTCCTCCTTCCATCACCCCGCCCCATTCTCCCGCTTTCCATCACCCCGCCCCATTCTCCCTCCTTCCATCACCCCGCCCCATTCTCCCTCATTCCATCACCCTGCCCCATTCTCCCGCTTTCCATCACCCCGCCCCATTCTCCCGCTTCCCATAACCCCACCCCATTCTCCCGCTTTCCATCACCCCGCCACATTTTCCCACTTTCCATCACCCGGCCCCCTTCTTTCTCCTTCCATCACCCCGCCCCATTCTCCCTCCTTCCATCACCCCGCCCCATTCTCCCGCTTTTCATCAGCCCGCCCCATTCTCCCGCTGTCCATCACCCCGCCCCTTTCTCCCGCTTTCCATCACCCCGCCCCATTCTCCCGCTTTCCATCACTCCGCCCCATTCTCCCGCTTTCCATCACCCCGCCCCATTCTCCCGCTTTCCATCACTTAGCCCCATTCTCCCGCTTTCCATCACCCCGCCCCATTTTTCCGCTTTCCATCACCCTGCCCCAATCTCCCGCTTTCCATCACCCCGCCCCATTCTCCCTCCTTCCATCACCCCGCCCCATTCTCCCGCTTTCCATCACCCAGCCCCATTCTCCCGCTTTCCATCACCCCGCCCCATTCTCCCGCTTTCCATCACCCCGCCCCATTCTCCCGCTTTCCATCACCCCGCCCCATTCTCCCTCGTTCCATCACCCGGCCCCATTCTCCCGCTTTCCATCACCCCGCCCCATTTTTCCACTTCCATCATCCCACCCCATTCCCCCGCTTTCCATCACCCCTCCCCATTCTCCCTCCTTCCATCACCCCGCCCCATTCTCTCGCTTTCCATCACCCCGCCCCATTCTCCCGCTTTCCATCACCCCGCCCCATTCTCCCACTTTCCATCACCCCGCCCCATTCTCCCTCCTTCCATCACCCCGCCCCATTCTCCCGCTTTCCATCACCCCGCCCCATTCTCCCGATTTCCGTCACCCCGCCCCATTCTCCCGCTTTCTATCACCCCGCCCCATTCTCCCGCTTTCCATCACCCCGCCCCGTTCTTCGCTTTCCATCACTCCGCCCCATTCTCCCTCCTTCCATCACCCCGCCCCATTCTCCCTCCTTCCATCACCCCGCCCCATTCTCCCGCTTTCCATCACCCCGCCCCGTTCTCCCGCTTTCCATCACCCAGCCCCATTCTCCCGCTTTCCATCACCCCGCCCCATTCTCCCGCTTTCCATCACCCCGCCCCATTCTCCCTCCTTCCATCACCCCGCCCCATTCTCCCGCTTTCCATCACCCCGCCCCATTCTCCCTCCTTCCATCACCCCGCCCCATTCTCCCTCCTTCCATCACCCCGCCCCATTCGCCCGCTTTCCATCACCCCGCCCCATTCTCCCTGGGGCGGGCTGATGGAAAGCGGGAGAATGGGGCGGGGTGATGGAAGGAGGGAGAATGGGGCGGGGTGATGGAAGGAAGGAGAATGGGGCAGGGTGATGAAAAGCGGGAGAACGTGGCGGGGTGATGGAAAGCGGGAGAATGGGGTGGGGTTGTGGGAAGCGGGAGAATGGGGCGGCGTGATGGAAAGCGGGAGAATGGGGCGGGGTGATGGAAGGAGGGAGAATGGGGCGGGGTGATGGAAGGAGGGAGAATGGGGCGGGGTGATAGAAAGCGGGAGAATGGGGCGGGGTGATGGAAGGAGGGAGAATGGGGCGGGGTGATGGAAAGCGGGGGATTGGGGAAGGGTGATGGAAAGCGGGAGAATGGGGCGGGGTGATGGAAAGCGGGAAAATGGGGCGGGGCGATGGAAAGCGGGAGAATGGGGCTGGGTGATGGAAAGCGGGAGAATGGGGCGGGGTGATGGAAAGCGGGAGCATGGGGCGGGGTGATGGAAGGAGGGAGAATGAGGCAGGGTGATGGAAGGAGGGAGAATGGGCTGGGGTGATGGAAAGCGGGAGAATGGGGCGGGGTGATGGAAAGCGGGAGAATGGGGCGGAGTGATGGAAAGCGGGACAATGGGGCGGGGTGATCGAAAGCGGGAGAATGGGGCGGGGTGATGGAAAGCGGGAGAATGGGGGGGGGTGTTGGAAAGCGGGAGAATGGGGCGGGGTGATGAAAAGCGGGAGAATGGGGCGGGGTGATGGAAAGCGGGAAAATGGGGCGGGGCGATGGAAAGCGGGAGAATGGGGCTGGGTGATGGAAAGCGGGAGAATGGGGCGGGGTGATGGAAAGCGGGAGCATGGGGCGGGGTGATGGAAGGAGGGAGAATGAGGCAGGGTGATGGAAGGAGGGAGAATGGGCTGGGGTGATGGAAAGCGGGAGAATGGGGCGGGGTGATGGAAAGCGGGAGAATGGGGCGGAGTGATGGAAAGCGGGACAATGGGGCGGGGTGATCGAAAGCGGGAGAATGGGGCGGGGTGATGGAAAGCGGGAGAATGGGGGGGGGTGTTGGAAAGCGGGAGAATGGGGCGGGGTGATGAAAAGCGGGAGAATGGGGCGGGGTGATGGAGAGCGGGAGAATGGGGCGGGGTGATGGAAAGCGAGAGATGGGGCGGGTGATGGAAAGCGGGTGAATGGTGTGGGGTGATGGAAAGCGGGAGAATGGGGCGGGGTGATGGAAAGCAGAAGAATGGGGCGGGGTAATGGAAAGTGGGAGAATGGGGCGGGGTGATGGAAAGCAGGAGAATGGGGCGGGGTGACGGAAGGAGGGAGAATGGGGAGGGGTGATGGAAAGCGGGGGAATGGGGCGGGATGATGGGAAGCGGAAGAATGGGGCGGGGTGATGGAAAGCGGAAGAATGGGGCAGGGTGATGGAAAGCGGGAGAATGGGGCGGGGAGATGGAAAGCGGGAGAATGGGGCGGGGTGATGGAAGGAGGGAGAATGGGGCGGGGTGATGGAAGGAGGGAGAATGGGGCGGGGTGATGGAAAGTGGGAGAATGTGGCGGGGTGATGGAAAGCGGGAGAATGGGGTTATGGGAAGCGGAGAATTGGGCGGGGTGATGGAAGGAGGGAGAATGGGGCGGGGTGAAGGAAGGAGGGAGAATGGGGCGGGGTGATGGAAGGAGGAAGAAGGGGGCGGGGTGATGGAAAGCGAGAGAATGGGCCGGGGTGTTGGAAAGCTGGAGAATGGGGCGGGGTGATGAAAAGCGGGAGAATGGGGCGGGGTGATGGAAAGCGGGAGAATGGGGCGGTGTGATGGAAAGCGGGAGAATGGGGCGGGTGATGGAAAGCGGGTGAATGGGGCAGGGTGATGGAAAGCGGGAGAATGGGGCGGGGTGATGGAAAGCAGAAGAATGGGGCGGGGTGATGGAAAGCGGGAGAATGGGGTGAGGTGATGGAAAGCGGGAGAATGGGGCGGGTGATGGAAAGCGGGAGAATGGGGCGGGAGATGGAAAGCGGGAGAAAGGGGCGGGGTGATGGAAGGAGGGAGAATGGGGAGGGGTGATGGAAAGCGGGGGAATGGGGCGGGATGATGGGAAGCGGAAGAATGGGGCGGGGTGATGGAAAGCGGGAGAATGGGGCGGTCTGATGGAAAGCGGGAGAATGGGGCGGGGAGATGGAAAGCGGGAGAAAGGGGCGGGGTGATGGAAAGCGGGAGAATGGGGCGGGCTGATTGAAAGCGGGAGAATGGGGCGGGGTGATGGAAGGAGGGAGAATGGGGCGGGGTGATGGAAGGAGGGAGAATGGGGCGGGGTGATGGAAAGTGGGAAAATGTGGCGGGGTGATGGAAAGCGGGAGAATGGGGTGGGGTTATGGGAAGCGGAAGAATGGCGCGGGGTGATGGAAAGCGGGAGAATGGAGCGGGGTGATGGAATGAGGGAGAATGGGGCGGGGTGATGGAAGGAGGGAGAATGGGGCGGGGTGATGGAAAGCGGGAGAATGGGGCGGGGTGATGGAAGGAGGGAGAATGGGGCGGTGTGATGGAAAGCGGAAGAATGGGTCGGGGTGATGGAAAGCGGGAGAATGGGGGGGGGTGATGGAAAGTGAGAGAATGGGGCGGGTGTTAGAAGGAGGGAGAATGGGGAGGGGTGATGGAAAGCGGGGGAATGGGGCGGGATGATGGGAAGCAGAAGAATGGTGCGGGGTGATGGAAAGCGGGAGAATGGGGCGGGGTGATGGAAAGCGGGAGAATGGGGCAGGGAGATGGAAAGCAGGAGAAAGGGGAGGGGTGATGGAAAGCGGGAGAATGGGGCGAGCTGATGGAAAGCGGGAGAATGGGGCGGGGTGATGGAAGGAGGAAGAATGGGGCGGGGTGATGGAAGGAGAGAGAAGGGGGCGGGGTGATGGAAAGTGGAAGATTGTGGCGGGGTGATGGAAAGCGTGAGAATGGGGTGGGGTTATGGGAAGCGGGAGAATGGGGCGGGGTGATGGAAAGCGGGAGAATGGGGCGGGGTGATGGAAGGAGGGAGAATGGGGCGGGGTGATGGAAGGAGGGAGAATGGGGCGGGGTGATGGAAAGCGGGAGAATGGGGCGGGGTGATGGAAGAGGGGAGAATGGGGAGGGGTGATGGAAAGTGGGGGAATGGGGCGGGATGATGGGAAGCGGGAGAATGGGGCGGGGTGATGGAAAGCGGGAGAATGGGGCGGGGTGATGGAAAGCGGGAGAATGGGGCAGGGAGATGGAAAGTGGGAGAAAGGGGCGGGGTGATGGAAAGCGGGAGAATGGGGCGCGCTGATGGAAAGCGGGAGAATGGGGCGGGGTGATGGAAGGAGGGAGAATGGGGCGGGGTGATGGAAGGAGGGAGAAGGGGGCGGGGTGGTGGAAAGCGGGAGAATGGGGCGGGGTGATGGAAAGCGGGAGAATGGGGCGGGGTGATGGAAGAAGGGAGAATGGGGCGGGGTGATAGAAAGCGGGAGAATGGGGCGGGATGATGGGAAGCAGGAGAATGGGGCGGGGTGATGGAAAGCGGGAGAATGGGGCGGGGTGATGGAAAGCGGGAGAATGGGGCACGGAGATGGAAAGCGGGAGAAAGGGGCGGGGTGATGGAAAGCGGGAGAATGGGGCGGGCTGATGGAAAGCGGGAGAATGGGGCGGGGTGATAGAAGGAGGGAGAATGGGGCGGGGTGATGGAAGGAGGGAGAAGGGGGCGGGGTGATGGAAAGCGGGAGAATGGGGCGGGGTGATGGAAAGCGGGAGAATGGGGCGGGGTGATGGAAGGAGGGAGAATGGGGCGGGGTGATGGAAAAGCGGGAGAATGGGGCGGGGTGATGGAAAGCGGGAGAATGGGGCAGGGTGATGGAAAGCGGGAGAATGGGGCGGGGTGAAGGAAGGAGCGAGAATGGGGCGGGGTGATGGAAGGAGGAAGAAGGGGGCGTGGTGATGGTAAGCGAGAGAATGGGCTGGGGTGTTGGAAAGAGGGAGAATGGGGCGGGGTGATGAAAAGCGGGAGAATGGGGCGGGGTGATGGAAAGCGGGAGAATGGGGCGGGGTGATGGAAAGCGGGAGAATGGGGCGGGTGATGGAAAGCGGGAGAATGGGGCGGGGTGATGGAAAGCGGGAGAATGGGGCAGGGTGATGGAAAGCGGGAGAATGGGGCGGGGTGATGGAAAGCAGAAGAATGGGGCGGGGTGATGGAAAGCGGGAGAGTGGGGCGAGGTGATGGAAAGCGGGAGAATGGGGCGGGTGATGGAAAGTGGGAGAATGGGGCGGGGTGATGGAAGGAGGGATAATGGGGAGGGGTGATGGAAAGCGGGGGAATGGGGCGGGATGATGGAAAGCGGGAGAATGGGGCGGGGTGATGGAAAGCGGGAGAATGGGGCGGGGTGATGGAAAGCGGGAGAATGGGGCGGGGTGATGGAAAGCGGGAGAATGGGGCGGGGTAATGGAAAGGGGGAGAATGGGGCGGGGTGATGGAAAGAGGGAGAATGGGGCGGGGTGATGGAAAGCGGGAGAATAGGGCGGGGGGATGGAAAGCGTGAGAATGGGGCGGGGTGATAGAAAGAGAAAGAATGGGGAGGGGTGATAGAAAGAGGGAGAATTGGGTGGGGTGATGGAAAGCGGGAGAATGCGGAGGGGTGATAGAAAGAGGGAGAATGGGGCGGGGTGATGGAAAGCGGGAGAATGGGGCGGGGTGATGGAAAGAGGGAAAATGGGGCTGGGTGATGGAAAGCGGGAGAATGGGGCGGGGTGATGGAAAGCGGGAGAATGGGGCGGGGTAATGGAAAGGGGGAGAATGGGGCGGGGTGATGGAAAGAGGGAGAATGGGGCGGGGTGATGGAAAGCGGGAGAATAGGGCGGGGGGATGGAAAAGGGGAGAATAGGGAGGGGTGATAGAAAGAGGGAGAATTGGGCTGGGTGATGGAAAGCGGGAGAATGGGGAGGGGTGATGGAAATAGGGAGAATGGGGCGGGGTGATGGAAAGCGGGAGAATGGGGTTGGGGTGATGGAAAGAGGGAGAATGGAGCGGGGTGATGGAAAGCGGGAGAATGGGGCGGGGTGACGGAAAGTGGGAGAATGGGGCGGGGTGACGGAAAGAGGGAGAATGGGGAGGGGTGATGGAAAGCGGGAGAATGTGGCGGGGTGATGGAAAGAGGGAGAATGGGGCGGGGTGATGGAAAGAGGGAAAATGGAGCGGAGTGATGGAAAGCGGGAGAATGGGGCGGGGTGATAGAAAGAGGGAGAATGGGGAGGGGTGATAGAAAGAGGGAGAATTGGGCGGGGTGATGGAAAGCGGGAGAATGGGGAGGGGTGATAGAAAGAGGGAGAATGGGGCGGGGTGATGGAAAGCGGGAGAATGGGGCGGGGTGATGGAAAGAGGGAAAATGGGGCGGGGTGATGGAAAGCGGGAGAATGGGGCGGGGTGATGGAAAGCGAGAGAATGGGGCGGGGTAGTGGAAAGCGGGAGAATTGGGCGGGCTGATGGAAAGAGGGAGAATGGGGCGGGGTGATGGAAAGCGGGAGAATGGGGCGGGGTGACGGAAAGTGGGAGAATGGGGCGGGGTGATGGAAAGAGGGAGAATGGGGAGGGGTGATGGAAAGTGGGAAAATGTGGCGGGGTGATGGAAAGAGGGAGAATGGGGCGGGGTGATGGAAAGAGGGAAAATGGGGCGGGGTGATGGAAAGCGGGAGAATGGGTCGGGGTGATAGAAAGAGGGAGAATGGGGCGGGGTGATGGAGAGCGGGAGAATGGGGCGGGGTGATGGAAAGAGGGAAAATGGGGCGGGGTGATGGTAAGAGGGAGAATGGGGCGGGGTGATGGAAAGCGAGAGAATGGGGCGGGGTGATGGAAAGAGGGAGAATGGGGGGCAGGGTGATGGAAAGAGGTAGAATGGGGAGGGGTGATGGAAAGAGGGAGAATTGGGCGGGGTGATGGAAAGCGGGAGAATAGAGCGGGGTGATTGAAAGCGGGAGAATGAGGCGGGGTGATGGAAAGCGGGAGAATGGGGCGGGGTGATGGAAAGAGGGAGAATGGGGCGGGGTGATGGAAAGCGGGAGAATGGGGTTGGGGTGATGGAAAGAGGGAGAATGGAGCGGGGTGATGGAAAGCGGGATAATGGGGCGGGGTGACGGAAAGTGGGAGAATGGGGCGGGGTGACGGAAAGAGGGAGAATGGGGAGGGGTGATGGAAAGCGGGAGAATGTGGCGGGGTGATGGAAAGAGGGAGAATGGGGCGGGGTGATGGAAAGAGGGAAAATGGAGCGGGGTGATGGAAAGCGGGAGAATGGGGCGGGGTGATAGAAAGAGGGAGAATGGGGAGGGGTGATAGAAAGAGGGAGAATTGGGCGGGGTGATGGAAAGCGGGAGAATGGGGAGGGGTGATAGAAAGAGGGAGAATGGGGCGGGGTGATGGAAAGCGGGAGTATGGGGCGGGGTGATGGAAAGAGGGAAAATGGGGCGGGGTGATGGAAAGCGGGAGAATGGGGCGGGGTTATGGAAAGCGAGAGAAAGGGGCGGGGTATTGGAAAGCGGGAGAATTGGGCGGGCTGATGGAAAGAAGGAGAATGGGGCGGGGTGATGGAAAGCGGGAGAATGGGGCGGGGGGATGGAAAAGGGGAGAATGGGGAGGGGTGATAGAAAGAGGGAGAATTGGGCGGGGTGATGGAAAGCGGGAGAATGGGGAGGGGTGATAGAAAGAGGGAGAATGGGGCGGGGTGATGGAAAGTGGGAGAATGGGGCGGGGTGACGGAAAGAGAGAAAATGGGGCGGGGTGATGGAAAGCGGGAGAATGGGGCGGGGTGATGGAAAGAGGGAGAATGGGGCGGGGTGATGGAAAGAGAGAAAATGGGGCGGGGTGATGGAAAGCGGGAGAATGGGGCTGGGTGATAGAAAGCGGGAGAATGGGGCGGGGTGATGGAAAGCGGGAGAATGGGGCGGGGTGATGGAAAGAGGGAAAATGGGGCGGCGTAATGGAAAGCGGGAGAATAGGGCGGGGTGATGGAAAGAGAGAGAATGGGGCGGGGTGATGGAAAGAGGAAGAATGGGGCGGGGTGATGGAAAGAGGGAGAATTGGGCGGGGTGATGGAAAGAGGGAGAACGGGGAGGGGTGATGGAAAGAGGGAGAATTGGGCGGAGTGATGGAAAGCGGGAGAAAGGAGCGGGGTGATGGAAAGCGGGAGAATGGGGCGGGGTGATGGAAAGAGGGAGTATGGGGCGTCGTGATGGAAAGCGGGAGAATGGGGCGGTGTGACGGAAAGAGGGAGAATGGAGCGGGGTGATGGAAAGCGGGAGAATGGGGCCGGGTGACGGAAAGTGGGAGAATGGGGCGGGGTGATGGAAAGAGGGAGAATGGGTAGGGGTGATGGAAAGCGGGAGAATGTGGCGGGGTGATGGAAAGAGGGAGAATGGGGCGGGGTGATGGAAAGAGGGAAAATGGGGCGGGGTGATGGAAAGCGGGAGAATGGGGCGGGGTGATAGAAAGAGGGAGAATGGGGAGGGGTGGTAGAAAGAGGGAGAATTGGGCGGGGTGATGGAAAGCGGGAGAAGGGGGAGGGGTGATAGAAAGAGGGAGAATGGGGCGGGGTGATGGAAAGCGGGAGAATGGGGCGGGGTGATGGAAAGAGGGAAAATGGGGCGGGGTGATGGAAAGAGGGAGAATGGGGCGGGGTGATGGAAAGCGGGAGAATGGGGCGGGGTGATGGAAAGAGGGAAAATGGGGCGGGGTGATGGAAAGCGGGAGAATGGGGAGGGGTGATAGAAAGAGGGAGAATGGGGCGGGGTGATGGAAAGCGGGAGAATGGGGCGGGGTGATGGAAAGAGGGAAAATGGGGCGGCGTGATGGAAAGCGGGAGAATGGGGCGGTGTGATGGAAAGAGAAAGAATGGGGCGGGGTGATGGAAAGAGGAAGAATGGGGCGGGGTGATGGAAAGAGGGAGAATTGGGCGGGGTGATGGAAAGAGGGAGAACGGGGAGGGGTGATGGAAAGAGGGAGAATTGGGCGGGGTGATGGAAAGCGGGAGAAAGGAGCGGGGTGATGGAAAGCGGGAGAATGGGGCGGGGTGATGGAAAGAGGGAGTATGGGGCGAGGTGATGGAAAGCGGGAGAATCCATTCTCCCGCTTTCCATCACCTCGCCCCATACTCCCTCTTTCCATCACCCCGCCCCATTCTCCCGCTTTCCATCACCCCGCTCCTTTCTCCCGCTTTCCATCACCCCGCCCAATTCTCCCTCTTTCCATCACCCCTCCCCGTTCTCCCTCTTTCCATCACCCCGCCCAATTCTCCCTCTTTCCATCACCCGCCCCATTCTTCCTCTTTCCATCACCCCGCCCCATTCTTTCTCTTTCCATCACACCGCCCCATTCTCCCGCTTTCCATCACGCCGCCCCATTTTCCCTCTTTCCATCACCCCGCCCCATTCTCCCGCTTTCCATCACCCCGCCCCATTCTCCCTCTTTCTATCACCCCTCCCCATTCTCCCGCTTTCCATCACCCCGCCCCATTTTCCCTCTTTCCATCACCCCGCCCCATTCTCCCGCTTTCCATCACCCCGCCCCATTCTCCCTCTTTCCATCACCCCGCCCCATTTTCCCTCTTTCCATCACCCCGCCCCATTCTCCCGCTTTCCATCACCCCGCCCCATTCTCCCTCTTTCTATCACCCCTCCCCCTTCTCCCGCTTTCCATCACCCCGCCCAATTCTCCCTCTTTCTACCACCCCTCCCCATTCTCCCTCTTTCTATCACCCCGCCCCATTCTCCCGCTTTCCATCACCCCGCCCCATTTTCCCTCTTTCCATCACCCCGCCCCATTCTCCCTCTTTCCATCACCCCGCCACATTCTCCCGCTTTCCATCACCCCTACCCATTCTCCCTCTTTCCATCACCCCGCCCCATTCTCCCACTTTCCGTCACCCGGCCCCATTCTCCCGCTTTCCATCACCCCGCTCCATTCTCCCTCTTTCCGTCACACCGCCCCATTCTCCCGCTTTCCATCACGACGCCCCATACTCCCTCTTTCCATCACCCCGCCCCATTCTCCCGCTTTCCATCACCCCGCTCCTTTCTCCCGCTTTCCATCACTCCGCCCAATTCTCCCTCTTTCCATCACCCCTCCCCGTTCTCCCTCTTTCCATCACCCCGCCCAATTCTCCCTCTTTCCATCACCCCGCCCCATTCTTCCTCTTTCCATCACCCCGCCCCATTCTCTCTCTTTCCATCACCCCGCCCTATTCTCCCGCTTTCCATTACGCCGCCCCATTTTCCCTCTTTCCATCACCCCGCCCCATTCTCCCGCTTTCCATCACCCCGCCCCATTCTCCCGCTTTCTATCACCCAGCCCCATTCTCCCGCTTTCCATCACCCCGCCCCATTTTCTCTCTTTCCATCACCCCGCCCCATTCTCCCTCTTTCCATCACCCCGCCCCATTCTCCCGCTTTCCATCACCCCGCCCCATTTTCTCTCTTTCCGTCACCCCGCCCCATTCTCCCACTTTCCATCACCCCGCCCCATTCTCCCTCTTTCTATCACCCCTCCCCATTCTCCCGCTTTCCATCACCCCGCCCAATTCTCCCTCTTTCTATCACCCCTCCCCATTCTCCCCTTTTCCATCCCCCCGCCCCATTCTCCCGCTTTCCATCACCCCGCCCCATTCTCCTTCTTTCCATCAGCCCGCCCAATTCTCCCGCTTTCCAATACCCCGCCCCTTTCTCTCGCTTTCCATAACCCCGCCCCATTCTCCCGCTTTCCATCACCCCGCCCCATTTTCCCTCTTTCCATCACCCCGCCCCATACTCCCGCTTTCCATCACCCCGCC